GCGGAGAGCGACCGCATAAAAAAAGTCGCACTTAGAAAATACGTCAATTATTTACGAAATACATGAGAAAGTGCTTCCAAACAAAATAAATAATTAAATTACACATTATAAAAACATTTAATTTTTCATTGTAGAAAGGAGAAGTTTTCAAAATGCACATTACATAATTCACTGCTAGTCGTCGTAATCCTTAACGCGCATCTTCTTGTGATGAATTGGTTCACCATCTGCTAGTCTATTTAATATTAGATTTTTTGTTTCTAATGGAATTGTCTTTCTTTTCACTTTTTTTTGGCTACAATTATTCATTTTAAGGGAGTACATATGTTTAAAAATAAAATGAAAATCATAAAAACTATATACAAATAGAAACAAAAGTAATTAATTTGTTTACCTTTAATCTCACTATAAAATGAATCCTTAATCACGTGAGTCGTGGATAAAACTCGGAATACAAAGCGTATGCTGCTAGCGCGTCGAGCGAAAATAATTGAATGTACATTGTCGGGAAACTGTTTAAACCAACTGAACAGAGCGTCTTGAAGTGTATATTTATATGTACACTGATAGAAAACATTACAGTAATGCCAACGCCGTTGAAATTCATATACCGCATAAAAAAAAATCGCACAAAAAAAATCGCACAAAAATAAAATCGCGCAAAACAAATCGCATAAAAATAAAATCGTATAAAAAAGGACCGCACAAAAACAGGTTTTACTGTATACCCGAACTTACTAATGTGTGAAGTACCAATGGTAGGACGTGGCCAGTCAATCTTGTTTGGTTTATACGAATTAGGAGTTGAATCGACAAGGTAGCCAGATGGTCAAAAGTGAACTTACAAGGGAAGGCAGGGAATTCTCTCCCTCCGATTTTGATGAAACTTTGTATGTCTGTTAAGCAGTCAAAAATAAGGGATACGTATTTTTTTTTTATCGGCTGAAACGTGACTTTAAGGGGTGAAACCACCCCTCGAAGTTTCGACCCGAAAGTACTATCTCGAAAACCAGAAGAGATAAATGAAAACTTCTAATGGACGAGGATTGCGGTTTTTTATGTAGAATAATATGGTGCTAACAAATTGTCCAAAATATAATTTGTTTATAACAAAAAAATTTCGGATCGAAACTTCGAAGGGGTGATTTCACCCTTTAAAATCGCGCCTTAACCGATCGAAAAATTACGTACCCCTTATTTTTGACTGCTTAACAGACATACAAAGTTTCATCAAAATCGGAGGACGACACTTCCGTGCCTTCCTTTGTTAGAGTCCTCAAGTTTAGAAAAGTCTCCGTGGAAGTCAAGAGAAATATGACTGTACATCGGTGAGCTAAGTCTTCGTTTGGGTCACCGAGTAATAAGGGGGAACACAATTAGCAGAAGCTCGTCGAAGCAGCCAGTGTGTTATCCCAGGGTTCGAGTCTGATTGCGGTTATTTAATGCATGCTAACGGAAACACGGGGCGTATACGAACGGAAACACGTGTAGAGGCGGTCAGTACAACAGGTACGATAATGCGAACTTGGTTTGTTTATACCGAGGGGGGGGATTAAAATAATGCATCGATATACACGGCCCCTGCCTGCACTGAACCAGATGAAGAGATTTACCTCCCGGGGAAATTACATGCGCATTAGCCGCGGAAATACACGGTGTACCGGAGCCACGTTTACCCAAACACAACCAGCAAGGTTCTATTTATCAAGCTGGACAAAAATGGATGGTTTTCCAGCGTAGCGGAAAATTCGTCTCATTTTTATTACTTCCACGATACAGCCTATAAAAGTAATTTTCACGCTACGGTTTCCCCCAAAAGATTTTCCAATCGTCAGCAGCGCCACGTTAATAAAACCTTCGTTGTAACTGCATAATTACAACGTCGATGTAAAAACGACACAACCGATCGTTAATACCGTGGATTGAAATGTTGACCGACTGAATTCGTAATCAACGATAAATACATGCTTAGTGCGACGATTAATGTTAATTTATGCCGAACACACACGAATCGAAGCGACAAATTATTCCAGGAAATGTGTTGTTTTAGAACACCTGTAACTTAAATTATACTCAAGTAAGACCAGGAAATATATTAATTTAATCAAGTAACTAGTAGGTAACATCATCTGTGAGACTTTACCACAGACGAGATATATGAATAGACCTAACATGCAATGTAATTTTCTGTCCCATGCTTCGAGGGCGTCAGAAGCCCCCTTACCATTTTAGTGTCAATACCCGACGTTACCGATAAAACATGAATTCTGAGTATTGTTAGCACAAATGAAGTGTTATAAATTCCATTCATATTGCGTGTATCTATATGATTTGACGAGAATAAAAATATCCGATGGTTCAGTTTAAGGTTAAGTCTATAACTTTACTTAAACTGAACTATACTTTAAGGAAAAGTATATATTTTTTCACTTAACTACAAGACAAATTATTCTAAATGCATCGCGCTAACTACATTTGTATATTTGTAACAGATAAATTCAGAATAGATGTAGTTTCATAAATAGTTTATCAAATCTACATGTGGGAGAATATATACACCGCTTTTATTAACATTTACATATTTATAATTTATATGGGAGTATGAATAGTTTTACTGCCTATTGTAAGAATCTTAGTACGCACGAATAATTACTTCCTGGCAATTGGTAAATGTTTACATATGAATTTACTCACACGTTATTTACTTACAAAAATTTTATTTATTGCGAGTAATTAAATAATGAACGTATGTTAATATTCAGCTACGTATCTCAAATTAAGTGAAATACAGAAGTTCTATTTTCTTGAAAATTAGTGTCAAAGAATACAGCAACTGGTCAGATTAGTTGCGTAAATAAATCGACACCATGTATCGGCACATTGTTTTTTAGGCTATCAAATATCACACGGAGTCTTTCAGGAAGTAGTAAAATCTTTTACACAAATTCAATGAAATACTTTCAGGTACCCAGTTTAGGACTATGAAATTAGAGTGTTCAAGAAGAGGTAAAGAAGTTTCATATTTGCAATTATTTTGTGATACTGTAATAAAAATCGGTATCCTGTGAGAAAAATCGTATTTAACGATATGAAATGAATAAAGTCGAGATGAAAAATTCGAGATAAAGATGTATGGAACTACTGAAAATTACTTTAGATTCCTTTTCCTTATTCTGTAAAATCTTTGATTGGAATATGAATGTTGCTGGAAGTATGAACGTTTTCACAGAACAATGATATAAATGGAACTTTAAAACTTTTTTTAAGTGTTACAGTGATATTTCGTTATATGTTCCATAATGTCAATAATATTGATTTCCTTGCAACATCCATATTTATTACAAATGTCAATATAACGAAGTATCTTTTATGCGATGTTTGTGGTGTAAGAAAAATCTGTGTTTCGATTACTTTTGTGATACGTATTACTCACTTATATGCAATAATAAAGAATAAAAATATACTATTAGTCCGATATTTGAAAATATACATGCGTTCGTCGTCACTGTTAAACTGTTGTAATAACAATGGAAAAATAAAATAATTTACTCAAATGTACATAATAATATATACCCATATTCATAAAAACAATATTAAACGCAATAACTTTTTTGTACGCGAAGAAAAACTAATATAGGTCCGTCGGGATTCGAACCCAAGACTCCTTTCTAATACGTCTACTTTATAGCGAACGGACGGAAGGGAATCCGTTCACGACCATGGTCCCTTCTTAGATTTAACGTAGTTCACAAATTCACCGTTCTCATAACGTAGAGGGCAGCAGAAAATCCCTGACTTCTTACAGTATCGGTATTTCGGAATATGAGACACGAATTCCCATAAGATGAAAGGTCTATCCTATACCTAGTCGGTGACTTTACTGAGCGGAAAAGTGATTAGGGAGCCATCTGACGACGATCGCGAAAAGAGTGATGGGGCAGAGATCATCAGCATTGCCATCTGACGGCAATCGACTTAACTAACGATCCTCAATACAGTATTTCGTCGATCATTGTCAAACTGGTTATACACGATCTTTTGTCAGGGAGAATAAAATTGCGAGGGTCTGGAGCATTTCTCCTATTCGATACTTAAAGTAGCACGGACCCGATTTCTTGACAATAATCGATGGAATACTGTACTTGAACTATAAAAATGTACCGACCATCAGGACTGAATAATAGATAATTTGCATTGACTACTAAACTATTCACAAAAGTTTTACCATAAAATACGATCCGATAGGAAGTTTATAAAATACCTTTGATTTCCTCGAAAATAACACTTCAGCTTGCATGTTTCGCTGCGCGGAAAAGATAAAGCCTATGAATGAAAGAGCACAGAACGCGGCTTGATCACCGTGAAAGAGTGCTCGACAAACCGCGACACGGGATAAATCGAGTTCTATCCAGAATAATAACGCCACGATGCATGGAACATCACCGACGAGGGGTGAATAAAGCTGGAACCGAATAAGGGGAACGGGGCGGGAGGTGGAAAAAGC